TTCATTTACTATATAAAATCATTAAGTTAATTTATATAAAATTGAAAGACTAGAACAATTAAATAAAATTAAAGAGAGTAATTAGTTAATAAAATTAAAATTAATCTTTATTATATATATAAATTAATAATTATAAAATATAATAATTATAATATTAATATATGTGTTAAAAACACACCTCAAAAAAACCATTCTAAAAGTAAATCAGTGTTTAGGTCCAATAGGTTGTTAGTCTTGGGATGGTAAATTGAGCACTTAAAATAAATTGCATGCTTTTCAGCATGAATTGTTGGATTCGAGTTCTTTTACTTTATATGCAAACGAGAATAAAATAGAATTCTCCTTTGGTCTATTGCAAGCGAGGTGTTATAATTCTAGGCGAAGTCAGGTTGTGCGCTTAACATGAATTACTAGAAAAGGGGTTTGTGGAATCAATAAATAAAAGTCTTTAGACACAAATCTTAAAGTAGATTTGGAATGTATGCCATTGAAAATGCCTAATAAGTCAACCTCGAATGTATTCTAGAATTTCTCGTGGACAAAAGGTTTGGTGAGGGCTTCAAAGACTTTGTGTCCTCTTCGCCTATCATGCCTTTAATTAAGCCCTAATTCTTGGGAATGTTTTTTATGTTTCTTTGTTTATATCATGTGATACATACATTACATATTAATACATTCAATTTAAATAACGTATAAATTAATTTATAAACTACCAATCACTTAAAGTAATTTAATAATATTTTTTAATAAAAATAAAAATATTAAATTTAAGTTATATGAAATGTTACGCGAATAGAGTAAGTTAATAAATAAAAAAAAATGATATTACTTCATTATGCAACTCAAAATCATAAATAAATACATAATTAAATTACAATACCACATAAAAATCAACTAAAAAAATCTAAACAAAACCTACTTGTAGGCAGAAACAAAACAATAAAAATGATAATAACTATAAGAGTGTACTATTTTACCGTTCAAGCTATTTTAAAATATAAAACACTTTTAGTAAAGTACAAAAGTAATTTCCACCAAAAAAAAAAAAAGGTACAAAAGTAATCAAAATTGAAACTAGAAAAAGAAAAAAAAGGTCGTATAAAAACCCCAAATGGCAGAAATCATGGGGGACCTTGGAACAAACTTTGAGTCCACTTTAGAATTCATGGGGGACCTTGGAACAAACTTTGAGTCCACTTTAGAATTCTTCTAGTAGGCATTTTTCCCTGTAAAATATTGGTCACAATGCCATATTTTGCCATCTACAGCGATCCAAACTATTCTTCCCTAAATTGCTATTGTTGACCAGATAATAAAATAAATTATCCAAGTTGTTCCATCGTCCTGGCACTGTTGATGAACGTGGCACTTTTCTCTTGCAAAAGTTTACTTTTAACTATTTACCTTACTAAGTTTGTAAATTTTAACCTTTTATTTTATATTATGATACTTTTAACCTTTTATATATTAAAATCCTCACTCATATCATTTTATTAGTTATTAGAATTATTCTATTAGTTGATTGTTAGCTAGCAAAAATTTACTTTCAAGTAATAGAGTTAACAGTCAGTTAACAAAATTAATAATTAATTAACAAAACTAACGAAATATTATAAAATGAGGGTTTTTTTTTTTAATTCTAATAAGTGAAAGGTTAAAAGTGTCATAATATAAGGTGATGGGTTAAAACTTACAAATGTAGTAAGGTAAAGGGCCAAAAATAGGTTTTTGCCCATTTATCTAGCCCCTCTAGGAGAAGAATTCTAACTGCTTCTACACCTTTCTCAAATGTAAAATCCAACTGCAAACGTATTTAGTGAATAATTAAAATGCATTACCCTATAAAAGTTCATTGCCTGCAGGCTAAACTATTGCATACCTCTTGATGTTCTTGGCTTCTTGCTTCGTGAAAGGGTGAAGAACAAAGTTAGCAGCATCCATTTTCCCGGAAGGCCCTCCAATGCCTAGAAGAGTTTCAAATTTTGACAATTAGAAAAGGAAAATATTGGATATTATGCTTGCATCACTACCAAGCAGCCTACCGATTCTTAAACGAGGAAAATCACGGCTCCCTTTAAAGTAATCAATGATATTTTTCATCCTGCAAGTAGAAGCAAGAGCAATCCATTAGATAATCAATGGATTGTCATGACCGCAATTACAATTTACAAAGCAAATGAAAAAAATCACATCCTTAAAAGTTTGAATCCAAAAATCATGGTTCTTTCTCTCTCTCTTTAATACGTTTGAATCATCTTTTGAGTAAGATCCAAGAATCAGCAAAAGAGTACTATACAGTTTGTAACCAAGGACAAGTACTATTTCTTTTTCACATGAATGAAATCAAAGACCAGATTCCAAGATCAGGCTACATCAGTAAATCTAATAAATGCTGAAAGGTCATCAGGTAAACAACTAATACAAAAAGAAAGCATGTACCCGTTATGTCCACCATGTCCACCTTTTGGTAGTAGTAATCACAATTTGGCAAAAGGCAAATCTGGGTCATCAAAAATCTGTAGAAGAAATTAAAAGTTTAGAGCTGATGCAAAGAAGTAGCATCAAAGTGTGGAAGGAATAGTAGTTTATTACCACTAGTACTTGCTTCAAAGGAATCTCGTAATAAGAACCAATGGCACCAACCTTCAAAATGCATCAAGAGCTTCAAAAATTTTCAATCAGAGAAGAAGTCTTGACCATTAAAAGATTTTTAGGTTCTTCTAGATTAGATCACTTACAGACTCACCACATAAATTTATGTAAGTTTGTGGCTTGGCAAGCATAACTGGAACATTTCCAATAAAACCTGTGAAACAGAAGCTGGTATTATGGTCGAGACATCCAGAAAACTTAAAACGTGAGACATACAAGTTTTCAATCATCTTCACGATCCATTAATAGTAGGTACAATTATCTTATCAGAACTACAACACCTATAGAAGCAGCTAGAAAATAGCTAAAAGAAAATATTAAAAGAGGAAGATTTACTGCAATATTTTTCCCGGAAAGAATACCAATCATGCTAAAAACACTAACTCTCATGCAGCAAAACTTAGAGATTGTAATTAGTTATACCGCAAAAATAAGATGCCTTTTCTTTAATTAAAATATTTAACAACCATGGTCTCAGCAATTTTAGAGCAAATTTGCAAGGAATACCAAAAATTACGTTTGTTGTATTTCTTTCGAGCGACAGTCTACCAGTTATCATTTCATGATTAAATCATGTTTTCTTAGATCCTAAAAACATAAATTCGAGAAAATCACTATATTTGAGCCTTAATGCTCTAGTTACCAAACTCTGGATAAGTTATAAGCTATTCTCAAAATTCTCTCATGCATTACATATAAACTCAACATGTCATGAAGCAAATAAAACAGAAAAAAAGAAAGAACAGAACAGAACAGAACAGAACCTTTTCCAAAGAGAGATTTAAAGCTAACAGAGCTGATTGGTATCCCTTCAGCTTCAGCTATAGAGTCTACCATCTCGAAGCCTACCTAAAAAGTATAACAGTGCCACTGCACATCAACAACGAAGGAAGACAAACTTTAAACAACAGAAAATTTATATTTTATACATTATGGCGGGTGCCCCGGTATTTTTTACCAGTGTTGCCAAGGCCGATAATTAGCCACGGCTGCAGATTCGGCAATGGATGAGACCCATCTGCGGTGGCAGCGGCGGCGGTGGTGGGAGAGGAACCTTGGGCTGTGGAGGACAGGAACTGAGACATTGTTGTACGCAAACTGTTTGAAGGACGGAAAGGAGAATGGGGAGATGGTAGGAATGAGGGTAAAAGGAGGCGTGGGTAATTGTAGTTGTGTAGGGCATGCACTGATGCAAGTGCTAGCAATTGCAGAACCTAAATTCATTGTTTGATTTGATACGGATGAAAGCAATAAATTTTCTAAGGTTTACCAAGGAAAGGGAAAGGGAAGGGGAAAGGAAGAAGAAGGAGATCGTTTTCGCAAAAGAAAGGAAGAAACGCCGTTGCCGGGGATCGAACCCGGGTCGCCCGCGTGACAGGCGGGAATACTCACCACTATACTACAACGACCGCTTGTGCATAATCTACTAAATCATCTTACAAACCTTTGTTCTTCTTGACTGTTCGACATTTGCAACCCGTCAGCGAATGGAAGCAAGATTAATTAAGGAAAGGGAGAAAGCGACCGGAAAAATCCGTGGCCTTTCCGTCACGGCTGTGGATAGACTACTCAGAGATTGAGTGGTGGTACTGGTACCGTATTCTCTTTCCTCAAGAGTCAAGAGGGTAGATTGACACAGTTGATTCCTAAGATTATTCATATGGCAAGCGGCAATGTGCATGAATTACAAATTAGATATAGAGATGAATTACAGGGGAATAAAAGGTTCACATTCTTTCAGCATTTTTCTGTAGGTTTTCATCCCCGAGTTGCATAGAGCACTATTTGACAAAGCAGCCGTCTCTTTGTGGATTAAAAAAAGAAAGTCTCTGTTACATGTACATTCTATGAAATTGTATACATCTATTTTGTTGTTTCTATTTCAATCCAATGAATATTAGTGCAGACGATCTCTAAAGAGCGTGAGGGAGGTTCAGGTTTTTATCACCTGCAAGGTCCTCCAGGCCATTGCTACAAGAACAAAATAGAACAAAATAGACAGTCAGATAATTAGAAATGAGCCAGGAAGAGATTATAAGAGTGAGATGATCACCTGAGATAACTTAGGGCAGACATTCGGTATAGACAAGTGAATACCAGGATATGCAAACCAATGGTGTAGAAAAAGGCAAAAGTTCGAGCACACCTGCAAGGACAATTCCCATTAAATTAACATTAAGAGAAAATAAAAACAAGCATATTCAAGAAGATTCTCATTAAATTGTGGACGGAAAGAATATTCAGCTTGTTGTGAAGAAATATGCAGTCTCTAATTTTATCTTAAAGCCAAGGCTTCTGTGAGTTGTGACCTTACATGCAGACAAATTTATGAAAACTTCCAAAAACAGGATGCTGCAACGAAACAAAATAACGGACTGGAGATGATAAATGGCATACCATACCAGTATGCATGATAACAATCCATAAGTGACATGCATGTCAAAATCACAGATCATGTTAAGTGAAACAATATTGTGAAAATATAAAAACAAAAGCCAAAAGGCCTAGCCGATAGCAGCAATCTATTTGCGGAACTCAAGGAAGAAACAATACTTATTGCCAAGGAGAAAGTGCCCACTACGAAGTGTAATTCTGTCTCTGAAACCCAACTCCTTGTATCTTTGATCCCTCTCCTAATTACAAGTAAACAAACTGATTAGTTCATTAAATCTCACAATCAACAACATGAGAAGGAAACACGGCACTAGTCAAACAGAGCTTTAAAGGAAACAATTTCTCCTTGTACCGGGTGGGCAAATATATTTAAAATATCTGATCAGCTATCATTGATGAAGATGGATATAAATAAACTTCATTTTGTACTGAGTAAATATTGACATGCATAATGGGAAGATAGTTTAGAGAAAAAATGTTGCTTAATTATGTCTTAGATAGAAAACATAAATATTCTTAAAAGGAAATATACACAAGAAATATGTAAGGAGACAAGCTCTTTCTTCCCTCTGCAGGTAAACATTCTAATAACAAAAATTGACTCAACAGGCCATAAGTTCACTTAGGGAGGGAAATGAGTTGAGCTGAGCTTGAGTACCATGAAACTAAACAAGTTGAGCTAGGGCTCATATATTTTAAAGGGCTTGAGGTCAACTCTTTTATTAAATAGACAGACCAAGGCCAAAAAGCTTGCAAATGGCTTGGATCATTTCCACCCAAAAGTTCAATACCGAGTTAACTGGATATTCATGAAAAATATAACAGAATAACATCAAAAAGGGAGCTAGAGTTTAACAACCTTTTTGGAGAATGCTGCAAAGGGATTGATATCATCTTCATATATCTTTTTGTACTTAGATTCAACATCTGACGTGAAACCACTTTCAAGATCCTCTGCATGCTGAGTAGGATTGAAAACTAAAAACTAAGCATCAAGAAACTAAAAAGCATAAAACAAGAATAAAAGCAAATAACAAAAGAGATACCTTCTTTGATCCCCTAGAAACTACTTTCTCTTGATTGTAATCCTGGACATAACGAATTTTCCCATAAAGTTTCACATTGTCAGCTTTTGTTTTCTCCAGTTCTGCCGTTAGTGCTCCTATCTTCTCCTTTAGTTGTCTTATTTCCTATAACATATTTAAAGGTTGGCAAGGTCAGTGTCTTGATCCTTGATAACAAGAGTACATGCAGCATTATAATCACAGTTGCATGTGGTAATGAAAAGAAACCAAATATCAGTGTATAAAATAATGTAAAATGCATACTTCTTCTGTCTCTCTTAAACGTGCCCTAAATCGATCCCGCTGATTGCAGATCACCTTAAGCATTGAGCTTTGGTCTTGATCAGAGGGAGCATGCTTCTGATACTGGTTCTGATCCATAATAAACAAATTATGAATAAACAAGACAACCTCATAGGGAAGACAAGAACTACTTAACTAACAAAACATAAAGTTGCTGTAGAAGAGGTATACCTCAGAAATGCCAGTTCCCCCACTCTCTGTTAGATCCCAATCATCAAAAAGGGAGCCTTTCCAATCTTTGGAACTGTAGCCCTGCATTGGAAAGGGAAAAAAGACATGAGATGCTAAAGAAATGTTGTTGGGTGGAGAAAGGTGCCTGTTTATGCATCCTGTGTTTCATGAGGCATTTAGTAAAAAAGAGTAGTGTCAACTTCAGAATCATCATCTCAATCAAACCGACAGAGCATAGAGCCACATAAAATCACATGTTTAGGAGATCCAAAAATAAAAGGGGGAAACATAGCAAAATGATTCAATGAATATAATAACACTCGTTAAAGGCTTGGGAATGTCTGATCCGAACCTTCAAAATATCATCTTCCAACTTCTGTATCAATTTTTGTTGTTCCTTAACCTTTGATGTGAGTTCTTCTATTTTGCTCTCAGCAGTTTCCAAAAAAGCTGTTTTTTCAGAAAGTTTGACCTAAAAGACAACAAAGGTTTATGAACAAAACTAGCACAGAAATTTAAAACATATAACGAACACTCATCAAACTCCATTCAGAAAATGTCAAGCATCAGGCAGACTCCATGCCTTCAACTGTGTGAGTTCATGTTCCATTTTTCTGTTTTTATCAAGAAGAAGAGACTCCATTTTGCTCATCTCTTCCCCACTGGTAGCTGCTTCCCAATCTTCAGCCTCAATTGAATTATAACCCACTGCCTACACATACATCAATAAACATGTTAAACAGAATTATGCTAGGTTTTGCTAAGCAGAGGGAGAGAAAGATTCCATGTTTGAGTTCAAAACAAACATGAGAAAATTATTAGTGCTAATAATATTAGTTTTAGAAATTTTCAATAAATTTTCATAAAAATAATAAAAAGTTAAGTAAACTGCACTTGAGTAGGAAGGGTGGTTCTACCTGCAAAATTTTCACTTTTTTATGTAAATCATCAACTAGTTTTTCTGTTGGTCTTGTCTGAAGATCTTTCTTCATCGCCTCAATAACAACTTCCTGGTTTAACAAACAAGAAGACAGGAAATGAGAAAATATAAGCACGAAACCTTTTCCTATCCTCTTAATCAGGAAAACAAAAATACAAGACATCACTGGATCCACAAACTTTGACTTCAATAATAATGCCAACTGTCATACTGCATCCTCACAGATAAAAAATGGCAAAGTAATAAACTATAAGAAGACACCTCAGCTCTTTAAAAGTTAGATGTATTCTATATACTTCAGAAATATTACTATTTCAGCTACTGTGACTCCAATTCAATTCTTAAGCTCAAACTGCCCAAACCCTCCCTATCAAATACTCTAAAAACTTTTTATTAAAAAAAATGTTTTCACAGCATTCATTTGCACATTTAAAATATTGCAAATCCAGCTTCCCTACAAAACCTCAAATTCAGAAAAGCTTGCAGTCAACCAAAGTTTCAGAATTGAGCAGGACACAGGACACATTTAAAGAGACACCATTCAAATATTCTTTAATTGCAAAAGTCCCATCTTTTAAGCCATGGCTGCTACAAAAATTATCAGAGCATTCCAAATTCCAAACAAAAGTATGGCTTGAGAGGAACATCAATTTCGTAGCTGAAATTATTTCAAGATTGACCTTAAAAACAACAGAGATTTTTCTAAACTTACATTTTAACTATCTATGACCACATCAATCATCATAACATATATAATTACTTTTTACTTTTTCATGAATAATGTTTCAGCAAGTTGGTATTTTATTAGTCATAACCACCATTATCTAACAGCAGAATTTCCTTTCCAAGCAAAAAAGCCCTTAAACTTGTACAAACGAATTATCTTCCAACTTTGCTTAAACCTTAGATGGGATCAGAAATTTATCAGAGACAAGCTGTTAAATGCATTGCAATGAAAAATCATTTTTGAACTAATAACAACAGGACTTTTCCAAAAAATAAAAGCCTGCTTGGCTGTCATACCTTTTCAATGAGCAATGAGTTCAACTTCTTAATCTCACTCATGTGCTGCTCTCGTTCATTGGACAAGGTAGTTTCAATATTGTGAAGTTCCATGTTCAGTTCAGAGATAATCTTCTCTTTGGCACTTAGAGAATTTTCAAGGATACGGTTTGAATCCACATTATCACTGCCACAAAAGGAAGTAATTGTAATGCAACATCAAGCAAAACAAAAGTGTAGTTTTGCACAGGTGTCACTAGATGACGCATTACCTTCTCTTATTTTCAGTCTCTTCGTGTGCTGACTGTAATTGAGAACGTAAAAGCCCCTGAATACACATCCAATTAAAATGGGGGAAGATTAAAACCAAAAGAGAATATTTTCTAAAGAATTGTCCTAAAAACTCAATCTGCTAATTCTTTACTGTTACTTGGAATATGCTGGAAGCATGAGGCATAGCCCTTATATTATAAGAAAATGTAACACAACATTATCTACATCTCTATCTCACTAGGTGCAAAGATGCATTAAAAATTATTTTGATCAACTCATGAACATAAGGACATACAAACAAGTCAGGAAGCATAATGTGTAAAACTGCTAAAAAATTCTCAATCTATATAAATTTTGTGCATCTAGTGTGGGAAAAAACTGAACTTCTTAAATAATTCTATGTTTATCATCAGGGATCAACATTTACAAATCACAGATTTGCCAAAAAGACAATTATGATCCCCCAATTGCATTTTATAGTTACAGTTCAAAGTTAACTAGCACTTACACATGATCCCCTAGGTCCTATCTTCTTTCACAGTACAAATCTAGATTTGAGAAAAACTGATACATTGATGACTTCAACATATCAACAGATATATTTTTGTTCACCTTCTCTCTCTCCAGACTAAGAAGCAGTGTTTGAGCACGTTCTACTTCATCCATCAGAAGATTGACTTCTGATTGTTTTGCAGCCCTTTCTTCCTCTGTTATTGTTTAATGAGAACATTTGAGGATGTGCAACTTTTGCAGTGATTAAAAAATGTGATACAAAGACTAAAATCAAGATTTCTTTTGAAAATTAATAAATCAAATAACAGAATTGGGAATAAATACACAGATCCACACATCACCTGATTGAGCACGGACTTCAAACAGCTGGCTTTGTGCAAGTTCATGCAATTTTTGCATATTTGCAACACTTTCTTTAGCTTGTCGTAATTGATCTTGTAAAATTTGCTCCCTGCAAGAAAAAAGAAGCCATGCATCATTAAATACGACTATATAAGAAAAATAAGTGGCAATGAGGCAACAACTTGGACACAACTATTGAATGCAAATTCTGAAGTAAAGCAAATTTGTCAGATTTCTAATTTTATGCATAAGAGAAAATCCTCCTAACATCATACTAAAATCTTCTAGTTTTTTTCAGTAACAGGAGCAAGAATAGGTTACATAGTCAAAATTATATTGACAATTCCTCAAAGCAACAGGATTGAAAAGTACCTTTCTTTTAAAACCTCTAGTGTTTTCTGGTTTTCTTCAGCCAAGCTTCGTTGCTTCATCTCCACAATTTCTTTCACTTTTTCTTCCATCTGCATGAATGACCAAGACTAATCAATCATCATCTATTCTCAGAAATTAAATTTCAGTAAAATTAATAGATGAGATGATAAAGGGACAAGTTATTACGTTCATTTTATGTTAATTGTATTGTGATAGAAAATTCCAAGCATACAATGCTTAAATTGCAAAAGAGATGGATGACATGATAGCCAATTGGTGGTTATGGGTTCTTCCTAATAACAATATTCTTCATGGTAGAAAGAAACTGGTATTTGAAACAAAGTAATGCTTTTAGTTCCAGACACCTTCTTCACATTCACCTCTTACGCTAAAAGGGATTCTAAAGCCTGATATTTTCTGTCAACCTAAAACCAATTAACAATAGCTATAGAAGCCCTAACTTGGATATAAGATTGCAAGAAATCTCAAATAAAAAATATCATCAGTGCCACTTAACACAGCTTACCACATGTGGGCCCAACAAAACAATGGAAACAAATGACTTATTTCATTGACTACAGAAAGGTATGCTAAAAAATAATGGGCAATAGACTTTGATATCCTGTCAAGTCATCTAACCTAAGACCAATTGGCATAAAGGGGGAGAGGCCCAACTTGAATGCTAGGTCACATCAAGTCCCAAGCTTAATGTCTATGAAGTATAATTAATATTTAAGATTTCATTACTGAAACATTAGTAAATGTAACTCACATACATAAAAATTTTTGTAAAGAAAAATATTGGAATGTAGTGTTGGAGGCATGTCACAAATTCAACACAAAGACCATCAGCAGTATTTCTGAGCACAAGAAAAGTTTTAACATGTGAGCAAAGTAAACCAAGGAACACAAACCTGTAGTTCTAATTGGCGGTTGCGCTCCTCATGTCTTCTTATTGTTGCCTGCTGATTTTTTAAGTGCATTGATTCTGTCCTGAATTCTTCAAGCTCAACTTTCATCTTGCGGTTTTCAGACTCTAGTTCAGACAACTTCAAATCTTGGTCCTGCATGGAAGTTTGAATTTACGATTAAAAAGAGACTTGCAAATTCCAAACAAGGAAACAGAGGCTAGCACAGCACAAACAAAGGCAAAGAGAAAACATCTGTCATTGAATTCGTCTAATTCCACTATATCTTGTATATATAAATGAAAGAACTTCAAAAGCATCAGAACGATGTAGGATTCAGCAAGACACCAATCAATGGAGATAAGTATGACCATGGCATCCAAAAAGAAAACAACATGGATATAGACGCAAAACTTAAATCTCTCAAATTGAAATTAATTCAACAAAGATCTTCAAATTGGATATGGATGCAACTGATGGAATTCAAAAGTTATTAGTAATCACGCTCAGATGTTAATAGCATCTGTTAACATAAAACACCGAATGCACAGTGCTGATACTTACAGCAATTGAGGCAAGAGCAGGATAAGGATCTGGAGCCTCATAAAGCTTCTGGTAGATGTTAAGAAACGCATTCTCTCCAAATTTTGCTCTCTTGGTAAGATTATCAACTTCTTCCTGGTAACCCTTAAGTAGAGAATTAAACAAACTTAACTTCTCCTCTGGTGAAGCTTTCTTGAAATCTGTTGGAGTACAAATTATAAACTCAATATTTCCTCTACAAAGCACGCATCAAAGTTAAATCTGATTGTTCAAAGATAATGAGAATCTACTATACCTCTTGTACTCTCAGCTAGCTTCCGCCGGTTCTTCTGGCTGTTTTCTTGATTTTCAGCTATTCTGAGCCCTTGCTCATCAAGCACACTTTTCTCCTTCTCCAACTCAAATTCTGAAAGAAGTGAATAAAAAAGAGATTCACATAAGAATGAAAAAAATTCTTATTCTGCTTGCAATGCAGAAACACTATGCAGCTCAGATGGATGATTTTGGTACAATGTAACATGGAAATGAGAGAAGAACACTTCAAACATGACTGAGATCCATCGGAGACTCGGAGTGGAGGAAACTCAGTAAATCCAATTCGACCATCGGCGATGATCTAATCGGAAAGAAGAGAGACGAATTGCTATACCTTTCCAGAAATTGGAGACGACGGAGATCGGAGAAGAGGACGGAGTGGACTTGTCGCGGTCGGATCCGCCTTGCGGGGCATCCATTTTCCGGGATCCGGATCTCAGCTAACGCTAGGGTTTGGCGTGAAATAAGTCGTTTCTTCCTGTTCCTGTGACAAGGTTGAGGACTCTAGAAATTTTTATTTTCCTTTACCAAGCTTTTAGGATAATAATAATAAGAGAATTCAGCGCGCGAAAGAGATCGAAATGGGAAGCTTTCTGCAGTTTGGTAGATCTGAGAACGGAGTGACTTTCTTTCGTCGTCAAGATGGCTTTCATTATAGGAGCTGAAAAGCCCAGCCCATTATTAAGGGGAAGATATTATTTTGGGAGATGTAATAATTTGAAATAAATTTTAAGTTAAAAAATTATTCTAGTCATTTTACCAGAGATCGAGTATTCTGCCAAAACAAAGTAGAGTACAACACTTCAACTCAAATTTCTTGTTAGCAAATTTTGCTTTATATAGCAAAACATAATCTAAAAATAATTCAAAAAGTTTCTTATTTTATCTAAGTAACTTTTTTATACTAAAAATCAACAACAAAAATACATCTAAAATAGGTTAAAGACAATCACTTTTGTTGTTTGCTTGCTATGATTTTTTAGTCACTTGGCACCCTTTCATTTGCATTTGCTCTTTATTATAGCTTCATTTCATCAACATTTATAGGTTAGCTCACCATACATTTTTGCTGTCATTTGACAGCTTCATTTCCATCATATTTTTAGCTAAATTGTTGTCATATTTTTTGAAAATTGACAATATTGCCATGTTGATTTTTTTTTTTTCTCACAAAGAAATGTAGAGAAAATCAAGAGGAAGATGAAGAGCATAACATAAACAAAAATGGAGAGGAGTATAACACTCCAACTTAGATTTCTCATTAACAAA